ACCACCCACCACTCAATAGTGGTTTTCTGTCATTGTTCATTTTAGTCTTGTGGATGAGTAATGTTCAGACATATCATGTGGTGGCTTTAGACAGAGGTCACTTCTTAATACATTAATTCTTCCTTGATGATTTTTTTGTTCAATTGCATGTCCTTTTCAACTCCTGGAGTGCCACTCCACTCCAAGGATTGCATCTGTGTGGTTGAAAACCAGTAAAACTGAATTTGTGAATCTTGGCTTAATCCAATTCTTCAAATGAAAGTTCAATATTGAAATGAACATTGGAGTCAATATTTCAGGAAGCAAACTCAAATTTGGTTCCTCTTACAGACACTTAACCAGGCATCAACTCTGATTTTACCATATGATTACTATGGATCTTTTTCCCTTGTTTTGTCCTCATAACAGGCTTTTTCTAGAGATTCTAAAACAAAGACACCTACGCAGCATAGAAGGTATGGAGATGACATGATCAAGAGATCAAGTAGCCTATGGATGAGTAATGTGATAATAATGCTACTTTATGTACTTTGTAGTTTTGATCATCTTGGCAATGTTTACTTTGGTCAAGAGAAAAATGTGAAAGAACGCAGTGATAGTGCTTGTAACAAGAGGAATGCAAGGAAAAAGAAGAACAGGAAGGTATTTGTCATTTGTTAAGTCTAAGGTCACTTGCAGTTTTTATTTTAGACTGGAAGAGAGATGAAATGTAGAGGTGTTTAGTGCATGATGTCTGGTACTTTGGCATATATTAGCTCCCAAGAATCTTATGGCTGCTTGTCTTTGTTACTGTTAAAAACCTCTGTCACCTAAAACCTGAATGCTTACTGAAGTTGCACATTTAAGGATATCATCTGCTTTAAGGGAGCTCAAGACTAAAAGTTCCTTTTGCAGCTGCCAATTCAAAAAATGTGCTGTTTCATCGACTTCAGCACACCCAACCTCTTTAGTGTTAATTCTTTTTTAAAGTTGTATTCTTATGTTGATTTATTGGGAGCTGTGGTTGTTTTTGCTTTTGTAATTTCTATATACTTAACTAAGCAATATTATCCTAAAAAGCTATGTCGCAAAAAGAACATCACAAAGAAAATATCCTCCAGGAAAATTGAGAATACCTTTCAATTTTAGAAGAAGAGACCACAAGATTACTGCTCTGTAATTCTGTGGTTTTAAGACAATATACAACGGTATTTTGAACTTTTCAGAAATCATCATCAAGACATCAAGATGACAAAGAAACAAGCTCCAAATCCACAACAACTGTTCCTGAGCAGAAATTTGTTCCAAACGTTTTCAGAAATGTCACAATCAAACCAGAAACAACGCGGAGACAAGATGAACTTACGGGGAGGTTACCATGTTACACAAGTCAGAGAAGTGTTTCAGGCAAGGTACATTACGTAGTATAAGTACAAAGAGCATCATCGATCTCCTTGTCATTTTATCATCGTCTAACAGCTATTCAGTCAGTCATGCAGTCAGCCAGTCAATTATCTACTTCAATTTAAAACAAGAAGAAAAAAGGAAAAATAAATTCAAGGATGAAATCAAACCGTAATATTATTCACATTTCTCACGAATTCCAACTTTCTGGGCAAAACTGTGAAGGACCAAACGGTTCTTTAGAAATTACATCAAGGTTTTTTATAGCTATCGAACTTTAAACCTGCAATTCTTTTTATTTTTGGTAGCAAACTGGAAGAGTGTGGTGCGAGTATCCAAAATTCGGCCCCGCCCCATCCAGACCAAGTTCTGTTACGAACGTGTGGCAGAAAAGACAAGAGAAACAGATGCTGCTGGCGGAGCTACAGCCTTCTGATCAAAATGATGAAGAATTACAGCTTCAAATGGCCTTGGAACTGAGCAAGAAACAAGCAGAAATTGACGAACAACAAAGGTTAGAAACTTAAAAAAATAAAGTAACAAGAACACCTGCAAACGGTCATGAAAAATCAGGGAATATTATATCTTTAAAGAATACAACTCTGAAGAAATTTGGAGTTTGACCTAAACAATTTTCATTTTTGTTCACAGAGAGATCACCTTACTGGAGAGACAGATGGAGGAAACACTCCAGTTGGAGAAAAAACTTAAATGTCAATCCAGCAAGGTAGAGATTCAAGCCAAACAAGCCACTGTTATGGGTCATGACAGTTTTCCACCGCTAGTAGGACATGTTGATGATGAGTGGGTGCTACCTTCGAGCGGTGAGAATAAGGGCGAAGGAAACGAACAAGAAAAAAAAGACTCCAGAAAATTTGCTCGCAACAAGGGCGATGATGACAATGGTAGTAGTACTGAGACCTTAGAACGGTGTCACAAGTCCAAACCTGAATCCAAGATGGAGCACTTAAGAAAAGGAAGCGTTGAGGCGAATGGAGTAAATGATAGGACAATGTTTTTAGGCAAGTCGCACTTTCAATCGCCACAGCTTTGCCGAAGACACGATTCTGAAACCAATTCTTGTCCATACGGGAAAAATTGTTGCTTGGGTAAGCACTGCAAGTACTTACATCCGTCATCGATTGACAACCGTAAAAGATCAAAATCAGGTGAATTTAATTTGGGCAGTCAAGATCAGTGCGATTCTAAGGTTATTGACAGGGATAACAGATCAGAGCCAAGCAGCTTAACGGGAAAACAAATGCAATTAGTTGCGTCCTGTGAAGGGGTGGATAGAGAATCGGAACCCTGCTGTGGATTACAGAACTATGGAAAATCAGATGATGTCTTCATACAATCTACTGGCTTTTATACAACACAGAAATCTCGCTATGTTGGAGAGACGGACAATCCTAACACCGCGTTGAGAGAGGAACATAATCAGTGCGACATAGGTACCAGTGAATTTGAGAGTATAAACCAGTGTTCAAGATTCGACATTCCTGTCAGTAAGTCAAAGACATTACTGAACAACAGGTTTTCGTTATGTGAGGGGACAACTGAAAATAACAGCAATGCTGATCAACCAGGTCTCTGGAACAAGAAATACGCACCAACAGGAAATCCTCAGAAAGATGCCAAATGTGGTTCAATCTTGTTTAAAAAATCCTCGTCAGGAGCAACATCAAGTGCAGCCATTACTGTTACAGCTCCAACTGTGTACGTTGTTGCAGATTCTCAGTTTCCTTTTGGAGCACCTGCTGGTAAAGGCCTCCACCAAGCAGCTTTGGGGTTACGATCTAATGCCAATCTTTCAAGTGAACAGAAACCACAAAATTCACCGGGAGCCTTTAACCAGTCTTCGAGTTCGGTTAACAATAGTGAAAGACAGATTACAGCAGCCACAACAACAAAAGTAATGACTCAAAGCCGGAAAGAAACCTCTGCGGGTCCTGGTTCTGGTCCAGGTCCTGGTGTTTCTTTACTTCAAACTGCGTCAGTGTCGTCTGAAATTCTGCCAAGTCCACGCTGTAGTTCTAGTACTTCTCTGCAAACCCCAGCAGCCATTCAGACTACGACTACTAATATTTTCCCGGTATTTCCTGGTTTTCCGTTTCTTCCATTTGCCAGTGTTTATCCTTGTATTAATCCAGCAAATGCTGCTGCTTCTGCAAGCCTGATGGCGGGATCGACAGATGAAATATCCTTTCCAGTGACATCTGGAACATCTAGTCAGCATGAAGGATCTTTCGTCTCGAACCAAGTAATACTACGAGCTCACCTAAAGGCTGGTCTCAGTGGTGGGTTGTCACCCTTAGGCCAGGTTCTTCCAACGCAGAATGCCCCATCAATAATGGCTGCGCAAGGAAGGAGTGAGTTAGTGCCAAACCTAGCGCAGCTCTCCGAACCGGACGACCTTAGTGAGCTCCAGTCTCCAACCTCAATGCTACTAAAGCCATTTAATGTCCCATTTCCATTAATCAACCCTCTATCATTTGTTAACATCAGCACAGGGATGGCTTTAGGGACACCATGCTCAGTGCTTCAGAATGGCTGCCAAACTAGTTCTACCTCTGTGCTAACTGCCCCATCTCAGGTGCAAGGTAATGATAAAACCAGAAAGCAGTCCAAAGTGGAGCAAAAAGGAACGGGTGTTAACACTCCCACGAAGGTGAAACGTGATTTTGGAAAGGAAGATGACGCTTCTGCTGGTTTTGGCGGGAAAACGAAGATGCTTAGAAGACCTATTACAAGTGAGTGTAGGATTTTGCTAATCTTTTAACTCCCAAAAGTGATTAACATGCAACTTCTCCCAATAATATCCATACATTATTGAGCAAACAGGTAATGAGATTACTTAAAGTTATCAGGAAGATGTTATCTGGATATAAACTCACAAGGAAAGGTGTAGCAGTCAGAGGGGAGAATTAACAATCAGATCTTTGGAGTTCAAGTGTCGTGATACAGTGATCAGAAGAAACAGTCAACAATTAATCTGAAAAGACAAGAGTATCAGCTAAAGAGAAAGAGGAAGTTTCACGATTAATTTACAAGGAATCTATTCTGATTGCTTGAAGGGAGAAAGAGTAATCGACGTGATTTTGTAGGGCTCTTGAAGAAAAATTTAAAATGTTAATGTGAGTTTGTACTATCAATCACAAAGGTTTGATTTGGTAGAAGCTGCGTTCTGGCTAAACGATCTTGTCGCACCATTATCTTAATTGAGTTTTCGAGGCCGCTGTTTTGTTGTTCAGTTCGTTTACATTCATTGGATTTATTTGTCCTCTTCGTCTACAGTTCCTATGGTGATGCAGCAGCAAGCATCCAAGTAAATTTAGAGATTTTCATACATTTTGAGAAATGGCAGTACTTCCTTGGTGAGCAACAGGTGACAAGGCCGCCATACGAAGCTCGGAAAATAGTATCAAGACGAATCAATTTCCCAGTCAAAGACAGTTTGATACAGCTGTTGTTTGAATTTCGAAAATAATATTAAGTGCATGGTAAAATACATCGATTGTATATTAAGTTTGAATATTTATTGTTGATAAATAATGTTGCAATTCGTATTGTCTCTCACGGGAAAAGGCTACTATGTTAGAAAATAGAGATATTTATTGACGAACTTCTGAAAACTTAAATCAGAACAACAGACCAGAAGTAATATTTGATGGTTACCTTGAAATGACGCTTCGACAGACGCTTGTACTCTCAGAAGGGATATCACAACTTTGCAAATGTTTGGTTTGGTTAGATCTTTTAGTCGTTACAGTTGAAAACGTTTTCGATTTGACGTGGAAAAAGGCTTATGGAATAAACTCAGAACACTCAATCAGGAAACACTAACGGCAAGTTTACCCTCTGATTTATTTCACTTTTCCTCAAATCTCGTGTAAGGAGATTCTCCTCATACACACCCCGAAAAACAAAAAAAAATACCCCCTAATCACCACGAAAGCACATATTTTTACCGCTTTTCAAAGTGGCGGGCGAGCCGACCTGTGCATCTCTAATCAACTGACATAAATCTTCTCGTGAATGTTCCGTATCTCAAATTATTTTGTATTAACTTCTAAGGGAAGTTTTGGAATTATTTTGCCTCTAACTTAGGAATTGCCCTTTGTGTGACAGAGAAATAAAAATAATGATTCACTTTTACTAATGAATTTCATTGTTGTTTCTGATTGCTTTGATGAAAAATGCTGAGATCTGACAATTTCTTTTGCGTCTGTTCCCCTGGTTATTTTCGAAGCAATTCCCTGAAGTCCATAGGGAACTCAAAAGGATGCAGGCCAGTTGGACCAGCCTTTTGTCTCATTAAAACTGCAGACATTCAGATTCAATTACACAAGTTCGTGTGCAGGGAAAGTTCATGCGAAGTCATGCGCATAAACAAAAATATTGTTCTCAGTCAGGTGTATATTTTTTCCTTATTTGAGTTCTCTTACAGTTTTAAGTATCATTGTGGTACATTGGTCTGTATGTCTAACAGCGTTTTATCACAAACGCTGCAAACTGATTGGCTACGCTAATCGCCAACCATTCTGTCATAGATTGCTGAGTCGCCTAATAAGTCTAATAACAGTGCACGGTTATAAACTCAATTGAATAAAAACGAGAGCCTCTTTTTTCATGAGATTTTGAACGATTAGTAGATTTATGCTAGAGCGATTGGAATTAATCGACTACGATTTCTGTGTTTGCTGATTTGGGCCATACAACACCTTTGTTCCCCTTTATTCTGCGTGACGAGCCCGAACAACAGTTGCGAAGGAGGTTAGTTTTTAAGGCTTGAAGGACACGGTAATAGGTAAAGAATAAACACACTTGTTCAGTTTTCTGTGATTATGTCCTCACAGACTCGCTAGTAGTGAGAATTTTGATATATTGCAAGTTACGCATCGCGTGACCTCCAAGTACTTTACCCCGACGGGAGTAGGGTAAGCCCATCACGGTCAAGGTACTGGAATCGACAATGACGATGTTTTGTAAACTGTAAAAAGAAACATGGCGGGTCCGATTATGGACACTGCTTGTATTACATATGAAGGGGTTTCTTTTGAACAAGATCTATTCCCAAGAACTAAAGAGCCAATATGGATTCTTGGAAAGAATTACTCTACCAACAAAGGTAGAGATAACTTCACTTTCAACCCTGATCTCGTGAAAAATCATATTTGCCACAACGCAACTCTGTTGTAAAATTTTTCATTTGCTTTGTTATTGTTTGGGCGTCAGCATTAACTCCTGCGTTATCTTGAGGATGCATTCATGCGCTAATCTACAGTAACTGATTTAACTCGTGCTGCTGATGTGTTTCATTTCTTAATTGAAACCTTTTTGCGGAATGGCAATTGAGACGTTTCAGTTTTGTACAGAGATGAATAATTTTTTTTCCGAATGTGAAGCGAAAGTAGATATTTCCGTTTTTGTTGTAGATATGCAGTGTTTGCGTGGACTTGATTGTAACCCATGCCTGACTTGTTCATTTAGCCATGATTCAAGAACCTAATGGTGTCAATGCAAAAAACATTTTAAAAAAAATTTTTTAACATCATTTTACTAGTAGAGAATCTAAATTTACCTAGGCTTTAACTGTTTTTTTTTAATTTCAGGAGAAGATTCAATTCACATTCTAAGAGATATTAGGTCTAGAATTTGGTGCACATATAGGAAGAATTTCTCAGCAATTGGTGGGTAAAATAATTTAAATTTTCTCTTGAAAATGAGATGTCAATGAGTTGTTAACCTTATCATCAGCCCCTTGAACTCTGGTTCAAGAGGTCCAAGCCTATGTGTTATTTCACCTGTCAATATAATTGGTTCCCAGAAAACAAAAAAGTTAGAAAAAAACTGAAAAATTCTTGCTGGTGGCTTGAGAGAGACAGTTATCCCAATGTTCACAGTTAAATGCCTTGTACTAAAGAAACAAGGTCAAGATTTGACATGACTGTTGACTGGTGTGTATGACCGGGTGTCACATTTTTTTTTTGTCCCTTTTGGCTATTTATAATTCTTCTTGTCTGTCCCATAGGAGGCACAGGGCCAACTGCTGACAGTGGCTGGGGGTGTATGCTGCGATGTGGACAAATGATTCTTGCAGAGGCTTTGATTTACAGACATCTCGGAAGAGGTCAGACTTCCTTGAATTCTCTTGAAACCATAATTATATATGATAACAAGTATAGCACAATGAAAGTTGTAGTAACCTAACCTTAAGTACCACTACAAGCTATCTAAAAACAGAAACTTTCTCTTATCCACTTAGTGGCCACATAGGATAGCCTACATTGTAATCAAAGACAATATTTTTTAGCAAAAGCAAATTGTTGTTTAAAACTGCAAAATTCTGTTGTTGATCAGTTATCAATTTTCACTCTCAGTTTATTGATTAGCATCACTTAACATGAAATATGTTCATTGGATATTTTGTGAAGTGTTGATTGGGCTATTTATAGATTTTCCTCTTCTCATACAAGCTAAAAATTAAAAGAACCTATAATGAGTTTTTTTATACTTTATAGACTGGCAGTGGGAGCCTGATGACAATAATGTTGTTTACATGCAGGTATATTAACCCACTTTCACTTTCAAGATCTGCAGCCTAATTCTCCTTACTATTTTCTATACCTTTCATTTAATGTTTGTTCAGAGAATTACGTGTTGACTTAAATTAATTGTGGGATTGATATTTTTTTCCTTTTTTTTTCTCATCGCCACCCTCCTTGATATGCAAGGGAAATGAATTGTTAGTCATTCCCAGGAGTTAAAGGGTTAACTAGGACTTTCTCCTTATCAATATGTAAATTAAGTTAAAGGCAGAATATTGATTTTTAGTACTGTGACATAAATGTGTGATAGATGACAGTAATTGAATTTATTATGTATGATTATTAGATTTTACAGAATTTTCTGGACAAGAAAGATAGTTTATATTCTATCCATCAGATAGGTGGGTGAAACACGACAATGATAAATTTTATAACTCCTTTAAGTACAAAATGGAATGATGAACTCTTGACACAAACTGATATTTACTGATATATTTTACTGATCTTTACAAAAATTAAAAAATCTTTTATTCTGATATCAGCTCAAATGGGTGTATCTGAAGGCAAATCTGTGGGGAGTTGGTTTGGACCAAACACTGTTGCACAAGTACTCAAGTAAGGTCACACTATTCTCTCAGTCCAGATTGTACAGTTCTACCCTGTAAAGATATAATAACAGTTTCCTAGTTTTGGATGTGCCAAAACATAGAATTTTAAAATTGTTTATTTTTTTAATTTGTTATGTGCACTCTTAGGACACAATGCTTTATACTAACTGTTGCATGATGGATTTACATTTTAAAATCACTTGATCAAATTATGGTTCTTCTTGATCTGCAGAAAACTAATGTGCTTTGATGACTGGAGTTCCCTGTGTATTCATATTGCCATGGACAACACTGTTATAATTAATGATATTAGTGAGTTTTAACAGTAATTATTCTTTATAACATAAATGATTTAATTTGAAATGTCTTTGGCTGATTCTTTGTTGGCCTTTCCTGTGCCTTTCTTGAAGGTGGGTATAAAGGTTTTCTGGAATCACACAATTATTGTTCTAGTGTTATTTTAAATCATTGCATGATGTTATATTTAAGGATAGAAACTGATGTGAAAAGCAAGTTATTTAACCTTTCTGTGCAAGGACACCCAAGAGATCTCAAAAAATATCCACACAAGCAAAGATTTCTATCAAACAACATTCAGTTCTACGCTAATCTTCAAGTGTAAATAACCTTTTTATTCCTTTAGAAACTCTTTGCAAAAGAGATTCGCCAACAAAGACTCATGGAGAAGCAACAAGCTACAGCCGTACATCGGCCGGGGTTGGAAGACAGAGAGGAGCAGCAGGTGGATCAGACACAAAGGATGGCACAAAACACAGACAACAGGGCTGGAGACCTCTTTTATTGTTTATACCACTTAGATTAGGGCTGTCAGAGATGAATTCTGTTTATAATGAGCCATTTAAGGTGGGTACAATAATTTTTCACCTACTGTATGATTGATTGTTAAATCAAAGGCTGTAATGACCAAAATGTTCCTGTCTGTATGGCAGATGACAAGATAGAGGCTTGGTTTTCAATACCATAAAAGTCTGAAGGAAATTATTCTGAAAATTACAGATGGCTCCAAGAGGATGAAATGGATTTGACTTGGTCACAAGGTGACCTGTTCGTCTCTCTTTCTACTCAAATTGGAATTTTATCATTATTATTAAATTGCTTGATTAACAGTGTGGTGTCAGTATACATATGACTTGCCTTCTGCACTGCCTCCCCACCTTGCTGTCTAGGAGTGTAATTTTGGTTATGTTGTAATGAGTGTGGGTATTCTGTGACAGACTAGCTCGAGTATGGATGGGAAGTAGAATTACTGACTAAAAAGTCACTCAATGATGAGAGAATTGGGATAAGCTCCAGCCATTGTATGCCATTATGTGTGTCCCGTAGGCTGCAATGCAAAATTATTTAGGCCATGAGCAGTCCCCTTTTCTCAGCATTGTCCATTGAACAAACATCATAGTTTGTAAAAATGAAATTCAGAGCCATTCGAGATCTGGAAATGGGTTGGTGCTCCTTTTCAGCCACTTTCTCCCTGTTTACTTTTGTGAGGTACCAATGCAAATTCCTTTCACTTACACACTAGAAAACTTAGAAGAAAGCACTTATTGTACTCTTAAAGTGATGACTTTT